AATTTCTTGTAATAAATACAATCATCCCTATATCTACTTACTAGACATTTCCAAGAGTTTCTTAAGGACATTTATGCATCACCGCATCCTCTTGAGAAAGAAAAAAAAATCGGGAAGAGGAAGATGGAGAAAATCAGAGAGAAAGAAACCGGAAGGCACAATTAAAAAAAGATCTAATGTTGGCGGGCGGGAACGCGCGCCTATAAAAATCTTAGGTCCTTCAAGGTAATTTATGGTAAAAAAAGGTTGTACTGTACGAACACAACTAATCGTACAACTACGATTTGTACAATACCAGTTTAGCTGATCGTACAGTACAGTTTATATGTATACTCTAAAATTCTCGTTGCATCTTTTCTTTGAGCGAAGTTAATTACCAAATTAATTTCTGAAATACAATGGAGGAATTTAATATAACTGATCAAAAAGAAAAAAAAGAATAATAAGTATTACTTGAAAAAACAAAACACTACCATATCAGTTGTTAAGAAATTTATATAATACTAACTATGCAATTATTTGTTGAATAATTTTTAGAGAACTCTTTTGCAAATATATTTATGTCTCACGTCTTTTGCAAATTTACCGAAAAGCTTCGGGACGTTGAGAAGATCGTTCATAGGAATAATAACAGACTTCCATAGTTCCATAAGCCTCATGAAAATTGAACACTTCTTCATCATGCTATTTATTAAAAATAAAATAATTATTGTAAAACTTTTAAAAATATAGGAAATCAGAAAACTCATTCGAGTGATAAGAAAATAAAAAAAAAGATTCTTGATCGATAATATAGCAAATAAAATTTTTTCATCATTACCTCTTCACGACATCTTGCTGAGAAATCTGAAGTAATATATATGTATATAAATTTTCATAAATAATTGATTTTTTAATAATCAATTTTATACGATTTTTACCTTCAATACTAACGAGATTTTGTTATAACAATTGTAATCTGAATTGCATTATATATAATTTTTTTCAGTTACACGAAATAAGAATGAAAGAAGGTTTCAAACCTTTTATAGTAGATTTGATAAGCATTTTACATGTTTTTAGTGTTTCACCATCGCATCTTGATCCGATGAAATTAATAAATGTTCTTAGACCATTAATGGCATATATAACATAACAAACATGTAATTCATTTAGTAAGCGAATTTTCCCGGAATAGTATTTTACTATCGAAATCGCCGTTAATAATTAGCCAAATAATTCGAACTCTTACCCAAAAGATAAAAGCGATTATTCATTTTTATGGCTGAAAATAAGAATAGTCAAAAAATGTTTTCAAAAATTAGGTGAAAAGATATTATAACATGGACATGCAAAGAAATTGAATATGAAATTTTTAAATAGATGCTAATATAGATATATTATTTTATTATTCTCACATGTCAACTATTTTATATAGCTGCGCCATTGAAAATAAGTTTTAATCATTTAATGTGATGATGAATTTATAACTACGTAACGTCACATCGCATCAATTCACTCCTAAAAATGTAAATGTCACCCATTTTTTACCGATAACCGATGGATATTCTCTTTGTTAGAATTGATGGTTTTTTAAACGGAAAAATCCGGGAAATCAAGATTTTTTTTGAACATATATTTGTTTATAAAAAAAACAATATCATGATGAATCTTATTCATGTTTTTAAGATTATCTTTTATCTGCACTGCACGTATCAAATGCAATATGCACATAATGCACATATTTATACAACATGGTTATGATAAAATATATGTAAATTTTTTTTTTTTGTCGTTTATAACGTGAATTATTATTGCAGCGGAAAAAGTATATGCTGGATGACAACATTTTTTTTTTTTCCGAGTTATGCAATTAGCCAAAGAAAGAATGATGGATGAAAAAAAACCGGAAGGAAAATTCTTTTTTTAAAATTATTGACCAATAAAATTTATCCTGTAAAAGTGATCTAAGGTTTTCCCGAAATTGGGTATTTTTGGTATTTTTGACTTTTTTCAAAATAAAATTTTTTATTTATTTATTTATTTTATTTATTTTTTTAAAAAACAATGCAATTATGCATGTATGGTTATGCGTAAATCATCGGATTAATTCCATAGTTTAATTTTTTTTTTTTTTTTAATAATAAATTTAGATTTTTATATATAACATAAAAACTTCGTTCTCGAAACCTTCCTTTTATTTTTTTTCTTTACTATAATAATTGTTATATAAAGTATTCTAAGATGCTATAAATGTAGTTTAATAATAAAATTTTAAATTAATTAATAATTTTTTAAGAAAAATCGATTGCAGATAAGAGATAAATTCTTTAAATCAATATATTTTACTATATATTTGATGCAAGTAAGTCTTGATGAGATGAAATTTTATTTATTGTATTTGTTATTCATATATAGTGTTTAGTAACTATAGCATGTGATTGTATGAGGTACCTCTATGCACCTTACTCTCTTGCATGATGGTACTTTCTCAAGGAATATAATAAACTAAAACTAATTTTTTAAATAACTAAATAAAAAAAATTACAAATTTGAAATAGCTTGTAATTTATTAATTTTCAGACTACAATTGGATATAATTATAATTTGACAAACCAAATTTCATTGGATGTCAAAATATTTCTAAAAAAACAATTTTTTTTAAGATTAATTTTATTCTTACAGTTTTAATATATAAATATATATTATATATGGCTTTGTTTCATCTGAATATAAGGATCGTTATAAATGTTGTTGTTCACGAATCTCATTGGCCAGAACCAAGAGTTCATTTAATTATCTATAAAATAAAGAACTTTTCACGTGTAATATCGATAATATATAAATTATATGATTATATGTCAAAAGTATGCATGATGTGACGTATCTTGTATAATCAAGTGACGTCATTTTCATTGATAGATCATAAAGATCATAACGAGTCTAGTATTAAAATACACAGAGAAATTAAATATGATTTCGAATATAAAATTGTTACAATAAACTTTTGCATGATTATAACAAAATAATTACGTGATTGAAGTTTCGTATAAAAAATATAAAAAATGTCCAGATTATTTGAGGTTTTTACTGAATCATCATATCATCATATAAAACTATTTTGCCTTTTTTTCTAAAACAATAAGAATTTATCGACAAATTTGAATTATTTGAATTTCATTATTTATTGATAATCAATTAATAATCATAAAAAAAAAAAAAAAAAAAAGATTATTTTAAGAAATTTAAAGATTATTTTTTTTATGAGCGTCAAGAAAAAGAAAATTTCAAAAGTATTATTATTTTTTTTGGGCGGGGAGAGTTTTTTTCTTTGTTCTTCAGCCCTAAAAAATGCACGTGTGTAAAATAAACCAATTTTATTCGTTAATCCCTAAGATCTATAAAGAAATAAATTTGATTGTGCAATAAATAGTTAGTACTGGGTTCTCCTTCTTTTTTTATCTTCTTATTTAAGTAAATACCCCAGAAAATTACAACCGTTTAATGTGATATGATTTCATGTTGTATTTCAATCATGTGTGAGTATGTATTTTACAAACAATTACAAATTTATAACCAAAGATGTTATAATTGTTTTCTAAATATATCATTATGCATATTTGATTATTTTTTCAGTGTAACCTTATTAAAACTTATTAAAAAGAGTCTTAAAAAGGTCAAATGGATAAATAAAAAAAAAAAAAAGTCAATATAAAAACATTTTTTTGACAGCTAGATTTTTATATTTGTTGTACAACGATAATTTGTAGATATTGAAATTTTAAGATTTTATTATTACAAGTTACAACTTTCTAAATATCTAAATACAATGGAAGAAATACCAAAAATAGATATTAAAAAAATTTTTTAAATTATTATTAATGAGACACGTGAAAAATTGACAGGTATTTTTAAGGTTGATATTTAAATCACCCATGAAAGATTGTTAACCCAACACGTTCAAACTTTAAACAAAATCATTTACTAATGCATAAAGTATTGTGTAGCACTGAATTACAAATTTCCGAGAAGTATTTCTTAAACAGGAAATGAAGCTAATAAAAAAAAAGGTCATGAAAGAAAATATCCATACAATGAAAAAACAATAATTTCTTAATATGGTTCTATGTAATGCGCAATCCTCAATGTAATAACGAATGAAAATTTTCAATTCATACACGCGTGAGATAATCGAATTGCAATATAATTGCACAATGCAAGTAACGTACATAATCATATTTTATTCAAGTTTTACAAGTTTTTAACCATCTCATTTTTATTTGTGATGAACAAATATTTCGAATTTTCTTTCCTTTTCCTTCTTTTTTTTTTTTTTTTTTTTTTTTTTTTTTTTTTTTTTTACCTTTACCAAAACCTATTAACGGTTCCTTTTCGTCTTTCAAATATAATGAATCTCCAATAAATAACTGTATTCCTAACCCTCAACTTTCTCAAGCATCATCATTAGATATCATTTTTTGTCGTAAGTTATTTTGTTTATAATTTATCCGTAAAAGTAGAGCTTCATTTACAATTGCGCGATATTAAAGAAACAATTACATAAATACTTTTTTTTTTTTTGTAACCAATTCCCTTAACGTAATCTTTTCATTTTTGTTTTGTATACTTGCATAGAACAACAAACTCTAAATTGCAACCTATCGGAAAACCAATGCCGAATCGACGCGGTGGAAAACCATTGGCGACTATACCTTTGGATGTGAGTGTTGTGTTTTTTTTTACGCGACAAGATTGCAATATGAATTTAAAGTATGTGACTGTTATTGAGCACCCTTTTTTGCATATAATGCTGGTCAAATTCGATGATACCCGTTTTCAGGGTGCTTAATAACAGCCAAGTACGTTAATTTATTTTCCCGTATACATACTTCCTAAACGATTCTCATTTTTTGAGTATCTATTCCTTATTTCTTACCTTNTTTTTTTTTTTTTTTTTTTTTTTTTTGTAATCAATTCCCTTAACGTAAATCTTTTTATTTTTGTTTTGTATACTTACATAGAACAACAAACTCTACATTTACATCCTATCGGAAAACCAATGCCGAATCGACGCGGTAGGAAACCATTGGCGACCATGCCTTCGGGTGTGAGTATTGGGTTTTTTTTTACGCGACAAGATTACAATATGAATTTTAAAGTACAGTTCACCCTCACTATAGTGAATCCCATGAGCTGGAAATTAAAATTCGTTATAGTAAGAAATTCACTATACTGAGGGTCATTTTATTATATATAAAAAAAAAATCTGTACCTGAACTTTTCTACAATATAAAAATTCACTATAGTGAGGGTGAACTGTATTTGACCGTTATTGAGCACCCTTTTTTGCATATAATGCTGGTCAAATTCGATAATGCGGGCCTGTGTACCCGTTTTCGGGGTGCTTAATAACGAGTCAAGTACGTTATACATACTTCCTAAATGATTCTCATTTTTTGAGTATCTATTTCCTTATTTACTTACCTTTTTTTTTTTTCATCCAATTAGAAAAAGCACGTTCAGAACCTAACCAACCAAAGAGCATTTCGTCAACGTAAAGAAAACTATATAAGAAGTTTGGAGTTAAGAGCTTCAGATCTTGAAATGCTTTATAATTCGGCACGGGACGAAATCAAAACTTTGAATGATAGGATAGCAATGTTAGAAAAAAGGCTTACTTCTTCCAGGTTAATAAGAAGTGATGCTATAAAGAATGTTAATAATAGAGATCCAAACACACATTATGGTGGGATTGTTAATTCAGCAATGTATCAAGCCATAATAGATAATCACACGATTTATGATGAAAACAAAGACGGTCCTTGTGACGTTATTATGAACGATGTAAGTCAAATAGATCTTAATGACAACATCAATAATTCATTAACGTCATCGTTAAGATCGTCACCTTCATCTAATGCAATTTATATTCGTGCTTCAAATGATTATTCTACGACTACTTCAAATGATATACAGCAATTACCCAAAGATTCAGATCTCTTCTGTGAGCCAATTACCACTTCGGATGAACGAATTTGGATAGCGTCTACAAGTCCAACTACAACTTCTCCATTATATCCAACATTTGTCGCAAGCAATCCGTCTCAAAATACACGCGAAAATGGTCCTACCTTCCCACCATCTCAAGACACTGAGCCACAATGGATTCAACCTTATTTCTCTCAAACATCAACTGCCATAACATCAAATCACCATCGTTTAAATTTAAAATGGATTTTAAGTGATGCTCCGAATGAAGAATAAAGTGTCGGTGTATAACAAGGACTTTTTTTTTTTTTGTTTATTGGATAATTTATTCTCCTAGTTTTTTTCGTTATTCTTTGATGGTGAAGGAAATCTCTTTTTATTTCGTTTATATTTCGTTTTTTTTTCCCCTTCTCCCACATTTTAAGAACAAATTTGAAGGTCGCTTTTTTTTTATTTTCAAAATTCCCTTTATGACAAAAAAAAAAAAAAAAAAATTTTTTTTTT